AACCCCCAACTGCCCTCCCTGCCAACCCAGTTGTCCCCAACTGCCCTTCCTCTGCCGGCCTGGTTGCCCCTAACTGCCCTCCCCTGCTGGCCTGATCACCCACAACTACCCTTTCCTGCCGGCCATCTTGTGGCAGCCATCTTTGACCACATGGTGCGGCCATCTTGTGCAAGGGCATGACGGTCCATTTTCATATTACCTCTTTATTATATAGGATAATGGAAGTCCTAGCCAAAAATGATCAGACAAAAATAAAAAATAAAAGGCATCCAAATTGGAAAGGAGGAAGTAAAACTGTCATTATTCACAGATGACATGATATTGTACTTAGAAAACCCTAAAGACTCCACCAAAAAACTAATAGATTTAATAAACGAATTCGGCAATGTAGCAGGACACAAAATTAACATCCAGAAATCATTGGCATTTTTATTCACCAATAATGAGCTCTCAGAAAGAGAAACTAAAAAAATTTCAATTTACCATTGCAACAACAGCAAAAAAAATAAGATACCTAGGAATAAACTTAAGCGAGGATGTAAAAAACCTGCACTCAGAGTCTGAACCAAAAGAGACTTTCTCAAGGCCATGGCACCAGACTGCAATGACAATCTCCACCTGTGGGGCCCTACTGAATATATTGCTTTGATCATTTTTGTTATGCTGGTAATGGTAGGCTCCCTTAATGTAGAAGTGACTCGGCAGGCTTGTAGCATGGTAAAAGCCCTAATGCCACCTCCAGGGCTATACATGGGATAAATCAAGAGCTGAGCCAAGTCAGGGAGGTAGTTCTAGAATATTGGGCAGCAATAGATTATTTGCTGTTGCAGCATAACTATGGTTGTGAGTAATTTCAAGTAGTGTGCTGTTTTAATCTTTCTGACAATTCTCAGTAAATAGAAAACATATCCAAGATCCTGCATTTGGTGTATTCCATCCCCAGGAACTGCTTTCAATGCAGTCCAGCAGGATGAGACTTTTAATCTAAAACTAATCTCATAGATACGAGATGATAGAAATAGCAGTGAAAAGGAAAATGGGGTGGGGTGGTGGGGGGCTTGCAACCTAGTTCAGTATCTGGTTAAAACTGTGGTTTTACTTCCCCACTCTGTCTGACTTGGGCGGAGCTGCAGAGCCTAACCCCAGGGTCCTGCCACAGCTGACTTGGGCAGAGCTGAGGGGACCCTCAGGGGCCGCCACAGGAGGACCTTTATAGGTCAGAGCCTCCCCACGAGGTCAGTTCAGGCTTTGGATCTGGAATTCCCCTGAACTAGCAGATCTGTGAAATAAAGGTTAAACTTTCCTCCCTCAGAGTGCTGGCTGATCATTCTCCCATGCATTCTGCCACAACAGCAGTGGGGAAATGTTAGGGGCAAAAACAGAATATTGGGGACTAGCTATGGTTATGAGAAATATCAATCATGCTCTGTTAACATGATTGCCTTGTGTTGGTTAAAGAAAGGACATTCTGACCTGGCAGGGAGCTGTATGCCCCCACAACATGGGAGTCAACCTTGGACATGAGAATCAATCTTGGAACCATTCTCATTCAATATCTGCCTATTATCATGGAAAGATTAACAACCTTGTTGCCCAAATAATGGAGTCCCACCCCAGCCTCCTACTTCCTTATGCCTATAATCCCTACTTCCCCATGTAAACTTTGTCCTACCCTATATAAGCAGTTGGTTTATTGGGGGGACGGGGAGGTGGCAGAGCATATTTTTGTGGATGACCTCTTACTCTCCTATACTGCTGGCAGTATTGAAATAAACACTCATATATAATTCAAAAAATAAAAAATAAATAAAAACCTGTACGCAGAAAACTATAGGACATTTAAAAATAAAGAAATAGTGGAAGATACAAACAAGTGGAAGCATATACTGTGTCATGGATTGGAAGAATTAACATTATTAAAATGTCCATATTAATCAAAGTAATCTATAGGTTCATTGCAATCCCTATTAAAATATCATCAGTATAGTACACAGATCCAGAACAAATATTCCAAAAATATATGGAACCAAAAATGACCCAGAATAGCCACAGCAATTTAGAGAAAGAACAAAGTTGGAGGGATCACAATACCAGATATCAAACTATACTACAATGCCATTGTAATCAAAACAATCTGGTACTGGCACAAAAGCAGGCATATAGATCAATGGAACAGAAAAGAGAGCTCAGAAATCAACCCACACGTATTTGATCAATTAATATTTGACAGAGGAAAAAACATACAATGGAGTAAAAACAGTCTCGTCAATAAATGGTGCTGGTAAAACTGGACAGAAACATGCAAAAAATGCAACAAGATCCACCAACTTACACCATATACAAGAATACACTCAAAATCAACGGAAAAGATAGCCAGTTAGCCTGGAGGTCAATTCACCCCTCGTATTGCTGACAACAATTAAGGCTTAACTACAACAAGACTGCGCACAAAGACCACAAGAGGGTGCACCAAGAAAGCATAAAAAATGCGGAGACAAAAAAACATGACAGAAATGGAGGATATAGAGCTAAAAAACGCAATTTTGAGGGCTTGCAATAAACTTTTGGAGAGCTTCACGAAAACTAATGAGACCCTCGATGCTATGATAAAGAAACAACTAGAAATTAAGCATACACGGTCGGAAATAAAGAATATTACACCCAATAGCAGACCAGAGGAGCCCAAGAATCAAGCCAAAGATTTGAAATGCGAAGAAGCAAAAAACACCCAACCGGAAAAGCAAAATGAAAAAAGAATCCGAAAATACGAAGATAGTGTAAGGAGCCTCTGGGACAGCTTCAAGCGTACAAACATCAGAATAATAGGGGTGCCAGAAGATGAGAGACAGCAAGATATTGAAAACCTATTTGAAGAAATAATGGCAGAAAACTTCCCCCACCTGGTGAAAGAAATGGACTTACAGGTCCAAGAAGAGCAGAGAACCCCAAACAAAAGGAATCCAAAGAGGACCACACCAAGACACATCATAATTAAAATGCCAAGAGCAAAAGACAAAGAGAGAATCTTAAAAGCAGCAAGAGAAAGAGACTCAATTACCTACAAGGGAATACCCATACGACTGTCAGCTGATTTCTCAACAGAAACTTTGCAGGCCAGAAGGGAATGGCAAGAAATATTCAAAGTGATGAATACCAAGAACCTACAACCAAGATTACTTTATCCAGCAAAGCTATCATTCAGAATTGAAGGTCAGATAAAGAGCTTCACAGATAAGGAAAAGCTAAAGGAGTTCATCACCACTAAACCAGTATTATACGAAATGCTGAAAGGTATCCTTTAAGAAGAGGAAGAAGAAAAAGGTAAAGATACAAATTGTGAACAACAAACATGCATCTATCAACAAGTGAATCTAAGAATCAAGTGAATAAATAATCTGATTTACAGAATGAACTAAGGGGAGTGGGAGATGCGGGAAGAGACTGGACAAAAATTGTGCACCTATGGATGAGGACAGTGGGTGGGGAGTGAGGGCTGAGGGTGGGGGTGGAACTGGGAGGAGGGGAGTTAGGGGGGGAAAAAAAGAGGAGCAAATGTAATCTGAACAATAAAGATTTAATTTAAAAAAATCAATGGAAAACTTAAATGTAAGTCACAAAACCATAAAAATTCAAGAAGAAAACATAGGCAGTAAAAAGCACAGACATCTCATGCAGCAGAATTTTCCCTGATACATATTCTAGGACAAAAGAAATAAAGAAAAAAATAAACAAATGAGACTACATCAAAATAAAAAGCTCTGCACAGCAAAAGAAACCATCCTCAAAATGAAAAGGGAATCCACTGTATAGGAGAACATATTTGTCAAGGATACATCTGATAAGGAGTTAATCTCCAAAATATATAAAGTACTCATGCAACTCAACAAATGGAAGACAAGTAAATCATTTAAAAAATGGACAGGAAGGAGCCCAGGGCAGGTCCAGAAGCCGAGCTGGCAGGCGATTCCTTGTCTTCAACCCTATTGTAGCTGCTTCAGAGGCTGGGAGATGGAACATGGCTGAACAGTAGAAAAGAACCTAATACTGATGCCAGGGTTTCCTTCCCAGACCTGTTTCATGATTTCTTTCAAGTGAGTGGCCCTAGATCCCTAGGGCAAGGGCTTCAAGGAGGTTGGGTGGGGACCATACCCCACCAGCTTCATCCTCAACCACCTTCACCTTCCCCTCAATAAAAATTTGTTGAGGGCCTGCTATGTACCAGGCACTGTTTTTTTTTCCTGTTTTTTGTTTGTTTTTAAAGATTTTTAAATTTATTTTTATAGAGAGGAAGAGAGAGGGAGAGAAACATTGATGTGAGGGAAACATAGATCTGCTGCCTCCTGCATGTCCCCCACCAAGAATTTAGTCTGAAACCCAGTCATGTTCCCTGACCAGGAATGGAACCAGCAAACCTTTGGTGCAGGAGACAATGCCCAACCAACTGAGCCACACCATCCAGGGCTCAGGCACTGTTTTATATGTCAAGATACAAGGAAAATTTAGAAACATCAGGAAACTGTTGTTTTTTTATTTGCATTTTAGATGCAGGATGGGGTCAGACATTAAACACATAAACAATAAAATAAGAACACAACAAACAATTACAGTACTTACTATCTGACAGAGGCTTTATATATAACTCTAATCCTGCCAACAACCATGTGACATAGATGGTATTGTTATCTCCACTTTATAATGGGAAACTAAGACACAATGGGTAACCAACATCTAGTAAATGGTGGAGCTGGGATTTGAACCCAGGTAATCTGGCTCCAGAGCTTCTGGTTGTGATAAATGCTATGAAGACATCAGAACAGTCTGATTGGTTGATTGATTCTCTATCCTCATATCCCATACCTATTTCCTTGTCCCCTGCCCTCATAGTCAACTATTCTCACATGGCATTATCCAGCTTCCTAGTAGTTGCCAATATATTAGGGGTGAATTAAAATCTCATTGCTGTTTTAATTTTAATTTGCGTTTCAACTTACTAAAAATTAAGCATCTCTTCATATGCTTGTTAGCTTTTTGGATTCCCTCTTTTGTAAATTGCCTGTTCATATATTCCTTTAGGGCTGATGTCTTATTCTTTTTTTAAAAAAATATATTTTTATTGAGTTCAGAGAGGAAGGGAGAGGGAGATAGAAACATCAAGGATGAGAGAGAATAATTGATCAGCTGCCTCCTGCATGCTCCACACTGGGGATCGAACCCGCAACCTGAACATGTGTCCTGACTGGGAATCGAACCATGACTTCCTGATTCATAGGTCAATGCTCAACCACTGAGACATGCCAGTTGGGCCAATGTCTTATTCTTGTTGATACAGAAGAATTCCTTGTATGTTCTACATGTCTGCCCTTTGTCCATCCTGGACATGGCAAAAATCTCCCATTCTACCATCTATATTAACTGTGCCCATGATGTTCTTTGTTGTTATTTTCATATGATCAAACTCATCTCTCCCTTTTTTGCTTTAGAGTTTGTTTTTGAAATTTTGTTTTAAAAAAAATCCTTTCCTATCCTTACATTATAACAATTTTTATATTCTCTTTTTTAAAAAAAATTAAATCTTTATTGTGGAAATAAAAATGGACAAAGGACTTGAATAGACACTTCTCCAAAGATGACATACAGATGGCCAATAGACATAGAAAAACATGCTCAACATCACTAATCATCAGATAAATGCACATTAAAACTACAATGAGTTATCACCTCACACCTGCCAGAATGCTACCATCAATAAATCAACAAACAACAAGTGTTAGTGAGGACGTGGAGAAAAGGGAACCCTAGTACAATGCTGGTGGGAATGCAGACTAGTGCAGCCAACATGGAGAACAGTATGGAATTTCCTCAAAAAGTTAAAAATGGAACTGCCTTTTGACCCAGCAATCCGACTTCTGGGATATATCCTAAGAATCCTGAAACACCAATCAGAAAGGATATATGCACCCTGTATTCATAGCAGCGTTATTTACAATAGCTAAGATCTGGAAACAGTCCAAGTGCCCACTAATAAATGAGTGGATTAAAAAAAGCTGTGGTACTTTTGTTGTTGTTGTTTATCCTTACCAAAGGGTATTTTTCCATTGATTTTTTTAGAGAGAGTGGAAAGAAAAGACAGAGTGAGGGAGAGAAAGAGAGAGAGAGAGAGAGGAGAAACATTGATGTGAAAGAGACACATTGATTGGTTGCCTCCTGCACACACCCAGACCAGGGCTGAGGATCTAACCTGCAACCCAGGTTCATGCTCTTAACCGGGAATCAAACCTGCAACCCTTCAGTACATGGGATGGTGCTCTAACGACTTAATAACACCAGCCAGGGCAAAAGCTGTGGTACATTTACACAATGGAATACTATGCAGCTGCAAAATAGAAAGATCTCTTACCTCTTGTGACAGCATGGTTGGACCTGGAGATTATTATGCTAAGCGAAATAAGCCAGTCAGAGAAAGACAAATATCATATGATCTCACTTATAAGATAAACAAAATAAACTGATGAACAAAATAGGTCCAGAGGCATGGATGCATGGAATAGACTGACAGATCTCAGGGAGAAGGGGTTGGGGGGGACAGGAAGAGACTAACCAAAGAACTTATATGCATACTAGAGGCCTGGTGCATGGATTTGTGCACAGGTGGGGTCCCTCAGCTTGGCCTGCAGGGATTGGGCCGAGACTGGCTCTCCAAAATTCCCAGAGGGGTCCCAGATTGCAAGAGGGTGGTTTTCAGGTGATGCACACCAGAAATCAGGCTCCCTCCTCTCTGATTCTAGGTGCATCACCCAAGACCCGCAGCTGCCAAGTCACCACAGCTCGGCAGCTCCTGTGTTAAGTGTCTGCCTCCTGGTGGTCGTTGCGCATCATAACTACCAGTCAGACAGTTGGATGATCAGTTAGGCATATATATATTAGTAGCCCGGTGCATGAAATTCGTGCACATTAAAAGGGAATTAATTGCCCTAACCGGTTTGGCTCAGTGGATAGAGCATCGGCCTTCGGACTCAAGGGTCCCGAGCCTCAGAGCGCGTGGGGGCTGGGGATCTGGTGTGGGGTGCATGCTGGGGAATCACGCTCATTCCCTTACTGTGGCTGAGGTGGAGTACAAAGATGGAAAGATGTTTTACACGCATTTTTTTTCTTTCTATACAAGAACCTTTTGTCACTTGGTGTTGCTTTGAGAGTTCTGTAGAAGCAGATTGAATGGGATAAGTTTATTGAATACCTACTATGTGCTTGTTCTGGATTTTATAGGGAAAGAGACGAACCCTCCAGGAGTTCAGAGATTTGCTCAGGGCCTATGTGTAAAGGAGGCGAGCTTGGCTTGGACCGGGCCCAGCCTCAGAGTCTGCATATCTTCTACTGCCCCTGCAAAGTGCCAGCTTCCTCAACAGCGGCTTAAAACGTCTGCGCCCGGTGCTCATTGCTCAAGGAGACTCTTTCTTCAGTGAGATTTAATATTTGCTTATATAGGGTGTCCCAAAATTCACGCAAGATTTGAATGTGTGAGCATTAACAACAACAACAACAAAAAATAAAAGCCTAATTTTACTTGGTTTATTGAATCAGATTCTAATATCTGTTGCCCTTTGATTTCAATTCCTTCAATTTGATAAGCATTACCAAGTACCAATTATGGAGCAGGAGCAGGGACAATGAAGACCACGGCTTTGCATAGGTGCCAACAAAGCTGTTGAGACCATTTATCCGATGTGCTATTCGATACATAACCCTATACTGTATACTTTATGAATCAATAAAAAATTTACAATTTTTAATTATAAACCTGTCTTTTCTATCAAAATTACTTCTTGCATGAATTTTGGGACACCCTATATATAACTCTTTGCAGTTTACACACTATGCCCAGGCACATTTCCCACCTGCTGCTTTCTATATCCCTATGGGATAAATATTATTATACTAATTTTACAGAAAATGAAACTAAAATGAAGGGGCCTTCCAAAGTCATACACAAGGACAGAGTCAAAATTTTCAGTTGCTTCTTTACACCAGATATGTAATTATGCACATGTATCCCGTTTCATTACTCTTGTTTTTAAAATAAGCAAAATGTGTCTGAAGAATACCAAGTGGTTACAGATAG